TTGCTGTGGAGAGTCCGGAAGCGTGAAGGTCTGGCGGATGCCTCGTGCACGACAGTAGGCTCGCAGAAGGCCAGAGGAGAACTCTCCACCTCTGTCAGAGTGCAGACGCTGAACAGGAAAGTCCGAGCCGAAGCTCTGCCTGAGCTGGAGACGAGCTGCGCGGATCCAGTCGATCAACACCTCAGTGACATCACCCTTGCTGCGCAAGGGGAAGACTGTGGTGTAACGCGAGTAGTCGTCAACCACCAGCAGGAAGTAGCGCTCGTGACCCTGTCCACGGACGCGGGCCGGGCCCCACACGTCCATGTGAAGCGTCTGCAGCGGGGCCTCTGTCGGAGGAAACTGGGAGGAGTGAGGGGCAGCCCGCTGCCGCCCCTCGACACAGGGGACGCAGGTAGGGCCAGGCCCCGGAGGAAGGGGAGGGAGGGACCGGGGAAGACCAGAGACAAGGACACGGGAGGCCATGCTTCAGAGACGAAGCAGGGAGGGGTGACCAAGGCGGTGGTGCCAGAGGAGAGTCTCGTGAGACAGGAGGCGACACGAACAGGGGGCAGACTCAGGACCAGACCTGGACGCTGCAGCAAACACCTGACCCGACGCAGCTACCTGACCAGACGCAGTGACTGGAGGAGACGCAGTGGTCAGGGTGTACAGGCTCGACCCCGGCCGACGGGTAAACGTGGCCAGGTGTCGGCCTGTCCGAGCGTCCGTGCAGTGGGTCACCCGCCGACTCGCAGGAGTGAACTGGTGAACCCCCGCATCCTGTAGGTCAGCACCACTCACCAAGTTCGTAGAGAACGAGGGAAGGTAAAGACCAGACAGGGTGCCAGAGGGGGCCGCCGGACACGGGAGGACAGTGGAGAAGTGAGCAAGGACAGGACCCCCAGAGGGGTCTGCCAGAGAGACTGCAACTGGCCGGCTAAGCGGCGTGAGTGTGGTGCGGTCTCGAAAGAAGGAGCGAGAAGCCCCCGAGTCAAGGGTGAAGGTGTGGGAGGCCGAAGCCGACGCAGAACCTGAGAGAGCAGACTCACCAGCACCTGAGGGAGCAGACGCACCTAGAGCAGCAGCCTCGCTAGTACCTAGAGCAGCAGCCTCACCAGTACCTAGAGCAGCAGTCTCAATGCCCGGGTCGGGCGGAAAACACCGGTAACAGTCACCCTCATCACTAATAGTCACAGTATACATGGCAGCAAGAATAGCATCAAAGTCAAGGTCAAAGACAGCCACACCTGCCCTAGACAGCTCACCCCAGCGGGGGATCTCAGTGGCCTCAGGGAACTGGTGACGCCAAGCGTCCGTCAGGCGGCCAAAGCAGCGCTGGGTGGAGTGCGCACCCCCGCACTGCTCACCCGCGCGGTCGCCGGTGCGGAGGACGTAGGTGCACGGACCAGTACCCCCACCCCTCTGGCGTGCAGTGTACCACTCACGGAGCTGCTGAGGGGAGGGGATGTCACGAGTGCGCTGCTGGTGCTGCTGCTGCTGCTGGCGCTGACCACCACCGGAGCCGACCCTCTGCGCAGCGCCACCCCGACCAGCTCCACCTCCTCCGCCGCCTCCTCCTCCACCGCCGCCACCTCCGCTCCCTCCGCCACTGCCGCTGCCGCCTCCGCCTCCACTGCCGCCACCGACACCTCCACCCCCGCCACCACCCCCACCGCCACCCCCACCTCCTCCACCGCCTCCACTGCCGCCTCCACCGCCCCCGCTAGCTCCTCCAGCGCCCCTGCCCCCCTTGCCCTTGCCAGGGCGGCGTCTCCCGCTAGGGGTAGACGCCGCACCGACCGACTCAAGCCCAAGGAGGTCGGCCGCAGCAACAGAGGCAACAGAGGGCAAAAGGGGGGAGGGGGAACACCCCTCAAAGATGGGGGTGCGAGGGTCACCACGAGAGGCTCCTACAGCTACTATGCTCTTCTCTGCTGCTAGGAGGGACTTCTCGAGGAGGTCAACGGTGAGAGTGGTGGGGCAAACTGAGAGGAAGTGGTCCCTGACTACGCGAAGGGAGTCAGGGAGCTGGGTGACTATGTAGTAGAGGGTGATGTACATGGGGGGGGGGTTCTTGGCGCAGAACTCAGCAGGAAGCGCAGCGCGGTAGCGAGTGTCACTAGTGCGTAGGTGCGTAATGAGGTCAGCGACTGTGGGAAAGGCAGCAAGGTCAGGGAAGAGGTACGGTAGCATGAGGCGACTCAGTGCAGCAGTGGCAGGGGAGGAGTAGCGTGCAACTACAGCGTCGTACAAGGTCTGAGCACTCTTGTACTGGCTAAAGTGCGCACGCTCAGAGGTAGGCAGGTGGCGACGCACAGCAAGACGTGCAGCAGCATCGCGCGTGGCCCACTGGGAGCGAACAGTTGCGTCAGCATCAGTGGCGGGGGCAGGAGAGGCACCAGAAGTGAGGTCAAAGAGGGAGAGGCCGTCTGCCCTATCGCACTGTAAGAAAAGCTGCAGGTCATCTATCCAGACGTCAAAGTCAATGGCCCGACCCTCAGCGTCAAAAGCGAGGACACTAGGGGTAGCCATGACAGCAGTAGACTAGCAGCGCAAACAGTGGGGTGAGGGCAGTGCTGTGAGAGAGGCGCTGCTCTTACCGGACAGGGCGGCTCGGGCGGCTCGGCTGCAGGGCGGCTCGGCGACTCGGCTGCTGGGCGGCTCGGCTGCTGGGCGGCTTGGCGGCTGGGCGGCTCAGCGGCTCGGCTGCTGGGCGGCTCGGCGGCTCTGCTGCTGGGCGGCTCGGCTGCTGGGCGGCTCGGCGGCTCGGCTGCTGGGCGGCTCGGTGGCTCAGCTGCTGGGCGGCTAGGCTGCTGGGCGGCTCGGCGGGGCCGCTGAGAGGGCGGCGTCCGGGGCCGCTGGGAGGAGGCGGCGGGGCCGCTGAGAGGAGGCGGCGTGGCCGGAAAGGTAGGTGGCGGGGCCGCATCAGGGGCCGCGACAGGGGCCGCGTCAGGGGCCGCGTCAGGGGCCGCGGCAAGGGCCACGTCAGGGGCCGCGGCAGGGCCGCGTCAGGTCGCCGCGTCAGGGGCCGCGTCAGGGCGCCGCCAGGTGCCGCGGCAGGGCCGCGTCAGGGCCGCGGAAGGGGCCGCGGCAGGGGCCGCGTCAGGGGCCGCGTCAGGGCCGCGTCAGGGCCGCGGCAGAGCCGCGTCAGGGCCGCGTCAGGGGCCGCTTCAGGGCCGCGGCAGGGGCCGTAGCAGGCCGCGTCAGGGCCGCGTCAGGGGCCGCGGCAGGGCCGCGTCAGGGCCGCAGCAGGGGCCGCGTCAGGGCGCCGCGTCAGGGGCCGCGTCAGGGCGCCGCTAGGGGCCGCGGCAGGGCCGCGTCAGGGCCGCGTCAGGGCCGCGGCAGAGCCGCGTCAGGGCCGCGTCAGGGGCCGCTTCAGGGCCGCGGCAGGGGCCGCGGCAGGCCGCGTCAGGGCCGCGTCAGGGGCCGCGGCAGGGCCGCGTCAGGGCGCCGCCAGGGGCCACGTCAGGCCGCGTCAGGGCCGCGTCAGGGCGCCACCAGGGGGCGCGTCAGGGGCCGCGATAGGGCGCCGGCAGGGGCCTCGTCAGGGCGCCGCCAGGGGCCGCATAGGGGGCGCGTGGGAGGCGGCGTAGGGGCCGCGTAGGGGCAGCGTAGGGGCCGCTAAAAAAAAAATTAGGGCAGGGCGCAATGTGCGCGGGCAGCTAAAAAATTTTTTTTCTTATGGTGGGCCCTTAGGAAGGAACGGTCCCATGTAGGAACCCGCTCTATACCATGTGAATCAAGAAAACAGGAATGAAATGACTAAGTGAAAGTTGGGTACAAAAGGCAAACCCTAGGCAACTGTACCCCATATGTGCTACCCCACTATAGCCTACAGTAGCTATGTCATATAACTCTGACAGTTTGCAGGGGTGAACTCTGGGTAGAGTTGGTGTAGTAGCGGAAGCGTTAATTAAAGAGTTGTGAACCACCTTGCGCTAGTATGTGAGGGCAAAGTAAGTTGATTAAAACAAGTAGATACATGTTTATATATGAGTACAAAGAATACGAAGAGATGCAGTAATAACTGCTTTACTATTGCTGTTGCGGTTCGATACAGTGACGACTCGGGCAACTGCTCTGTAGCGAGTCAGTTGTGTGTCCTTGCTGTCGCGCTGTATTTGTCAGGTCAAAGGTCGCTGACCTTTGACTTTCGCGTAACCTCCAACAGTTACTTTCAACCTCCGAGGGTTGACTCGCCGGTGATTCGTAATACTTCGTTTCTTTTGTGTCTTAGGGTACATTCCTGTGGGGACACTTGTGTCTCAATCACTTTGTGACACCCAAAAATAACATAAACTGTGTTGTGTCCCAAATGCGAATCGGCTTTCGGCGACTTGTACTGTATTTATTATTGGTCAGCGTGAAACGCGCTGACATCGCTGTCGAATTGTGAAACGACCCGTCATTGTTAAAGAATCGCACGCGACTCGAAATGCCCGACACGACCACATGCACCTGGACATCCGAAAATGCCAATTTTGCGAGGGAAAAGATCCCACGCATCGAAACCACGCCCCTGCTCGGAGGTTGAAAATACGGGTGTACTGTCACCCAGTCAAATGCACACACCTGTACATCTCTTTTTGATCCCCGCCAGTGAAACGTGTCCAACTGAACCTGCCAATATGTCGCCCTACATCGCGGTACATTCGATGTTTGTGACACAACATTGGGAAAATTAACAGGCGCGACTCGGGAAAACGGGGATTGAGACACGTGTGTCCCCACAGGAATGTACCCTTAGTGTTTCGACACGACAGAGGCGCTTAGGACCGGTTGTTTCCAACAATTCCAACACCCTAATCAACTAAACTTCCACATGCAATTCGTGTCGAAACATCATGTGAAGGTGCTAACCATCCCTTTTGGGGGTGCCAGCGGTACAGTAATTACGGTAGTGTCAAACAATATTTCCCAACAGATGAACGCAACGAAAGTGTATCAGTTACAAATGATATGACTTGATTAGCCTGTCTAACCCGGCAATCCACAAGAGCTCCTCAGATGTATTGCAGCTACAGCTCCTCATGCTTCACATGTTCTCTTTGTTGCTCATGTGCATGAACACTGTTGTAAAATACATGCGAGTGTTCTTGCATCTCGTCTAATTGCAAGTACCCATCACCATTGTTGTCCGCCTGCATTGAATCAAGAAAAAAAAAAGAGGGGAGCGCAGGTATAACTGAGTTACGGTAGGGTTTTGGCGAGAATGAACAGCCATCACAACAATCTACTTGACACACTCGGCACAACACTCTCCTTCCACATCTCGGCACAACACTCTCCTTCCACATCTCGGCACAACACTCTCCTTCCACATCTCGGCACAACACTCTCCTTCCACATCTCGGCACAACACTCTCCTTCCACATCTCGGCACAACACTCTCCTTCCACATCTCGGCACAACACTCTCCTTCCACATCTCGGCACAACACTCTCCTTCCACATCTCGGCACAACACTCTCCTTCCACATCTCGGCACAACACTCTCCTTCCACATCTCGGCACAACACTCTCCTTCCACATCTCGGCACAACACTCTCCTTCCACATCTCGGCACAACACTCTCCTTCCACATCTCGGCACACTGCATCTCGGCACACTGCATCTCGGCACACTGCATCCCTGTGAGTCCAAGCCACCAACAGCAGTCCACCACCTCACCTGCCGAATCATATCTGCCGCCTTCTGTTCAGCAAAGTCCCTTTCGCTTGGCCACAGCACCCGCAGCACCGGCTCAAACTCGCCAGGGGAGAGGAAGCTGTCAAGAAGGGAAGCACACACAGGAAGGAACAACTTTACAACAGCACTCTTGGCACTCTTGGCACTCTTGGCACTCTTGGCACTCTTGGCACTCTTGGCACTCTTGGCACTCTTGGCACTCTTGGCACTCTTGGCACTCTTGGCACTCTTGGCACTCTTGGCACTCTTGGCACTCTTGGCACTCTTGGCACATGGCACTCTTGGCACTCTTGGCACTCTTGGCACTCTTGGCACTCTTGGCACTCTTGGCACTCTTGGCACTCTTGGCACTCTTGGCACTCTTGGCACTCTTGGCACTCTTGGCACTCTTGGCACTCTTGGCACTCTTGGCACTCTTGGCACTCTTGGCACTCTTGGCACTCTTGGCACTCTTGGCACTCTTGGCACTCTTGGCACTCTTGGCACTCTTGGCACTCTTGGCACTCTTGGCACTCTTGGCACTCTTGGCACTCTTGGCACTCTTGGCACTCTTGGCACTCTTGGCACTCTTGGCACTCTTGGCACTCTTGGCACTCTTGGCACTCTTGGCACTCTTGGCACTCTTGGCACTCTTGGCACTCTTGGCACTCTTGGCACTCTTGGCACTCTTGGCACTCTTGGCACTCTTGGCACTCTTGGCACTCTTGGCACTCTTGGCACTCTTAGCACTCTTGGCACTCTTGGCACTCTTGGCACTCTTGGCACTCTTGGCACTCTTGGCACAGGCTTAATCTTGCCAGAGGAGAGGAAGCTACCAGGAACACACGCAGGCAGAAATGCCCATGGAGCCAAAACTATCGTCTCACTCACTCAGCCGTGCCAATATCAGTGTCTGTATCACACTTGACATGGGAAACACCACACTCACTCACCCATCTCCATCCTTATCCAGCTCCTCAAACCTCCCTCTCGCCCGCCTCTCCTTCTCCTCTAGAGCCTCCCGAAACTCGCCGCCCGTGCGGTGCGGGCGGCGGTGGTCGTTGGTCCATTTGTCCTTATCGGCCTGGGCGGCGTGCAAGTGGACGAGAGCCTCGACGGGGTCGTGGGTGTCGTCGTCGTGCGCCATGAGCTCGTGGAACAGCGTCGCCTTGAACTCCGCCAGCGATATGCGGCTGTCGTTGTCACTGTCGCGCTCCCTGCACACGAACGGGACAAGACAATAAGATGATGGTGGTGGTGGGAGCGGGCGACGGCAAGACGTCGGTGAGTGGGAGCATGGTGGCTTGGGAGAACAGCAGGGGGGATTCGGTCCTCATGAGGCATGAGAGGCATGAGAGGCATGAGAGGCATGAGAGGCATGAGAGCCATGAGAGCCATGAGACGCAGAACCCTAAGAAGGATATGTGGCTGGCAATGTGGCTGTCGCGATCCTCCTTGCGGTGGTGCTGGTGGCTTAAAGGGGGGGTGGGAGGTGGGGGGGGGCACGAGATGTTGGTGGTAGGAGGGAGCATGGCAGGTGAGAGCAGCATGGGGAGAGTCATCCTCACGAGCCATGAGCCATGAGCCATGAGCTCGTGGTTCGACTCCCACAACCATGTGCGCCTGTCGTTGTCGCTGTCACCATCCCTGTTGCACTGCAGTGGAAGATGGGGGAGCATGGCAGGTTGGCAGGACGGTGGGAATGGATTCCCTCTCATGGGAATGGATTCCCTCTCATGTTCGTTAAGCTCTGCTCGTGAAACACCGTCTGATTGAACTCTGCCAAAGGTATGGGGCTGTTGTTGTCACTGTCGCGACCCCTGCAGGGGTGTGCTTGGGGGAGTGGTGGAATGCTCAGTGGAGTGGAAGCGGGAGGAGGGGAGGGGGTGTGTGTGGGAAGGATGATGGGAGGGAGGGTGATAAGTCCGCATGTGGGGATAGATAATCATTGAAAGAGTAAGCAGAGAGGGGGGAAGAAGGATTCGAGAGGAGGGGGAGAGAGGAGGGGGAGAGAGGAGGGGTAATCTCTCAGGAACAGAATGGCAGGACACATGCCAAAGAACAGGAATAGCACTGAGCTGCTTGTGCCAGTGACGCATTCAGATCAGGTTTGAGCTGGTCTCCTTGCCGTGCATGCCGCATGCTGTGCCCTCTCCCACCCTACCTCTCAACTGAGCCTCTCCCACAAACGACTACACGTACTCTTCACGCATCTCATCTGAAATTCCACCTGAATCTCACCTGAGACCTCACCTGAATTCCTGCAGCAGTGTGAGATTGCGCAGGCTTGGATCATCACTGTCCTCCGGATGCAAGTAGCTGGAGGGGAGGGCGATGGAGGTGGAGGACATGGAGGGTAGAGGGAACGGGGGGTAGAGTGGGAGGCGAGCGAGCGGTGAAGGTTAACGGAATCTTGAGCAGGTTTCATATTGTGATCCGTCCAGACAAGGCAGATATTGATGATGTCTTGACTCCAAGCATCAAGTGCCCATGTCCATGACAGCGACGCACCTGTTGAGCTCAGTGAGGCTCAGGTGCCCATCCCCATCCGCATCCGCCACGTGGAACCGCTGCTCCAGCTCCCGCCGCTGCTCCTCCCCCCCCACGTGCTGCCACCCCCCCTCGCCGTGGTGCACTGGTGCAGGAAGGCCAGGGGGTGAGTGACAATGGGAGGTGGGGACGAGGAGGAGAAACGGTGTGAGTGCACTCTTGGGGCAAGGGTGCGTGAGGCTGTGGGAGGGAGGAGCGTGCGAAGCGAAGGGAAGATGGGAAGAAAAAGACAAGCGCGAATGGACGTGATTGAACCAACCGCCAACTTGAGAAAATGGAGTGGAAACGGCATTCCGTTATCCATGGCTGACTCTGGCACCACAGCGCTCAGACTCCCAGCCACCACTTGCAAGAATTCCTTATCGGATCAGTGTATTCTGCTCGGCCCATCATACCTGCGCTCAGGAACTAATTCTAATTTGATGTGAAAAATTGGGGCATTTAACGAAGCAATAATGAAAACCAACAATATGAGCACGGTCAACAGAGTCAACGAGCTACCTGCCTGGTCGGCAAGTTCGTCTTCTAGCGCCTCGTCCAGAGTGATCCTGCCGTCCGCATCGCCGTCCACCGCCTCCATCTCCCGCCGCGTGCGGTGCAGGCTTGCCGCCCGTTCCACTGCCAGCAGCCACGTGGCGAGCTCTGATTGGCTGACGCGGCCGTCGGGCGGTGAGGTGTCGAGGAGAGGGAAGAGGAGGGCGAGGCGGTGGGAGAGGTTCAAGTGGTCGTTCCTCAGGTCGTCTGCAGGGAGAGGGGAAGGGGGGAGGAAAGGGAAGGGGGGATGGAAGGTGAGGGGAGGAGGGTGTTAGGGGTTAAGTGGAGAGCATCATGGCGAAAGGCGGTGGGAGAGGTTCATGTGGTCGTGCCTTACGTCATCTGCAGAGATAAAGAGGAGGTGCCGGGAAAAGGGGAAGGAGGGTTTGGTGAGAGGGGATAGAGAGGGGAAGGGGAAGTTAAGGGTGAGCAGGAGGGATGAAGGTTGTGGGGAGAAGTGGATATCACGGAGCACTTTTGGAACCACCTTCAGGATTTTCCGTTGGCTAGAGTCACCTTCAGTGAACTCGTGGTGTTGCCCGTCCAGCTCGCCCCACATCGCGTCGTCCGCCTCGTCTCTGTACCGCGCGCGCTCCTCCTCAAACTCCGCCAGCTCGCTGCCCTCCAGCGTCCCGTCGTCCGCCTCCTCGTCGCCCACCCCCACGCCTTCCCCGTGCAGGTGGTGCTTCCGCGGATCGTCCGAGTGCACGCGGAACGGCTTCCGCGCGCCGTGCAGGCGCGCGTACCGCCGCTCCCACGCGCGGTCGTCGCGCTGCTGCTCCACCTCCGCCACGAGCGGATCGAACGCCACGTGGACGACGCGAGGGTTCGCCTCGCCCGTCGCATCGGCCACCGCGTCGAGAGCGCCGTCGCCGGCTGTCCCACTTACGACGCCTGACGCGGCATCCTCGATATGGGACGGCGCGCTTAACGAAATTCGGCGTCTCGTAAACTCGAGGATTTTGCGGCCGTCAGGAGCTCGGGGAGCGCGGGTGAAAATGAGAGTTACGACGAGAAACAGGAGAAAGAGAGGGTAGAGAACGTGCGGACGAAGCAAGGCACGAAGCGGCGAGTCCATCAAGGTAACTCACTGGGAGCAACAACGCCGATTCTAGTCAATGCGAAAATGGAACGAGTATTTGCGACATTAGCTCAGGCTCGTACGCCGCTGAAGAGGCGGTACAGTGGGTGCGAAGCATGGTGGGAATCGTAAGCACGGCGGTCAAACTAATTGAAAGCCGAGTTCTACCTCTTCGACTAGGAGAAACCTGGCTGTTTAGGGAGTGTTTTCGCAATTAGTAGTGACAACTTCGCATCACCTCGCCTAATTAAAATTTCGCGTGACACTTCCAAACTAGGCGAGGCGAAACTGTCACCGCCTCACTCGCCTGATTTGAAAGACTCGCACATGAGAGTAGAGTTGGAGAAAAGCTTGGTGATACATGTTATGCGATTATTACCGTATTACCACGGATAGTAGCGCATATGTGCTTATAATAAAATCGGTTTTAAGGGGGGCGCTTGTAATTGAGTATCGGCCATAAGCGCCGGTGCTTATGTAATAACAAATACAGAAATACAAATTAAACGCACAAAATTGTACATTTCAGTCTCGTAAGTTCAATCGAATCGAACTTTTACAGCATCCCGAATCAAAATCGCTCGAGGGCGATTCCCTGACTGTGCACAGAGATTTGGCACGTCACTTTGCCCGCGTGCCAGCTCATCCTGACTGGACGCGCAACAAGTGAAGCCTTCGAAAGTCAAACAAATTGAAAATGGGTGTTGACTCGCTTGAATTTCGAAATTCGTTACCGTTTTGAACATGATTGTAAAATAATATTATGCATGCGCTTATAATAAATCAGGGTTTTACAGGGGGGGCGCTTATAATCGAGTTCCAGCCATAAGCGCATGGCTCCAGATAGAAGCGCCGGCGCCCTTAAAGACCGAGGTCAGCATGGTAAATTATCAAGTTATGTGGGTTTGAAATAGTGTTGGCGAAACCTTGAAAACAATAATTTCGGCAAAGTCAGTGTAGCGAGAAAGAGAGCGATTGACGATGGGAAAAGGGGTCTCGCCAAACGTGAAGTGATGGTGACGATACTGTGCAGCTTTGACAAATTTGCAGAACTGTGTGGGGCGACTGGTGTCAGATTTATATGACATAGCTACTGTAGGCTATAGTGGGGTAGCACATATGGGGTACAGTTTTCTAGGGTTTACATTTGTACCCAACTTTCCCTTAGTCAATTCATTCTCGTTCAGTTTCTTATGGTATCGAGCAGGTTCCCCTGTGGGAACTGTTCCTAGGGCCCACCACATTTTTTTTCCTGCCCGGAGCGCGCTCTCCACTGCCCGAGTCGCGCTCCCCTCTCTCGACCCTGTCGCGCCGCCTTAGCGGCCCCGTCGCGTCGCGCTTGCGGCCCCGTCGCGTCGCCCTCGCGGCCCCTTCACGTCGCGCCGCCCTAGCGGCCGCGTCGCGCCGCCCTCGCGGCCCCGATCCGCCGCCCTCGCGGCTCCTTCGTGTCGCGCCGCCCTCGCGGCCCTTTCACGCCGCCCTCGCGGCCCTTTCTAGCCGCCCTCGCGGCCTCTTCAAGCCGCCCTCGCGACCCCCCCCCTCCTAGCCGCCCTCGCGGCCCCGTCGCCTACCCCTGCGGCCCCGGCGCCGCCCTTCCCTGCCTCGGCGCCGCCTCTGCTGGCCCCGTCGCCTACCCCTGCGGCCCCGGAGCTGCCCTTCCCGGCCCCGGCGCCGCCTCTACTGGCCCCGACGCCGCTCCACCCGGCCCCGACGCCGCTCCATCCGGCCTCGCCGCCGCTCCACCCGGCCCCGCCGCCGTCCCCACGCGGCCCCGCCGTCACCACCGAGCCGCCGGCGCCGCCGAGCTACTGCCGAGCCGCCCGATCCACCCGAGCCGCCCGAGCCGCCGCGCCACCTGAGCCGCCCGAGCCGCCGGGTTGCCGAGCCGCCGAGCTGCAGTTGCTGCCGCACCGCCGTACCGCCGAGCCGCCCGAGCCGCCCGAGCCGCCCGAGTCGCCGAGTCGCCGAGCCGCAGTTGCTGCCGAGCCGCCGTACCGCCGAGCCGGCCGAGCCGCCCGAGCCGCCGAGTTGCCGACCCGCCGAGCCGCCGAGCCGCCCGAGCCGCCCTGTCCGGTAAGAGCAGCGCCTCTGTTACTGCACTGCCCTTACCCTACTGTTTGCGCTGCTAGTCTACTGCTGTCATGGCTACCCCTAGTGTCCTCGCTTTTGACGCTGAGGGTCGGGCCATTGACTTTGACGTCTGGGTAGATGACCTGCAGCTTTTCCTACAGTGCGATAGGGCAGACGGTCTCTCCCTCTTTGACCTCACCTCTGGTGCCTCTCCTGCCCCTGCTGCTGATGCCGACGCCACTGTTCGCTCACAGTGGGCCACACGCGATGCTGCTGCACGTCTTGCTGTGCGTCGCCACCTGCCTACCTCTGAGCGTGCGCACTTTAGCCAGTACAAGAGTGCTCACACCTTGTACGACGCTGTAGTTGCGCGCTACTCCTCCCCTGCCACTGCTGCACTGAGCCGCCTCATGCTACCGTACCTCTTCCCTGACCTTGCTGCCTTTCCCACAGTCGCTGACCTCATTACGCACCTCCGCACTAGTGGCACTCGCTACCGCGCTGCGCTTCCTGCTGAATTCTGCGCCAAGAACCCCCCCCCCCATGTACATCACCCTCTACTACATAGTCACCCGGCTCCCTGACTCCCTTCGCGTAGTCAGGGACCACTTCCTCTCAGTTTGCCCCACCACTCTCACCGTTGACCTCCTCGAGAAGGCCCTCCTAGCAGAAGAGAAGAGCATAGTCGCTGTAGGAGCCTCTCGTGGTGACCCTTGCACCCCCGTCTTTGAGGGGTGTTCCCCCTCCCCCCTTTTGCCCTCTGTTGCCTCTGCTGCTGCGGCCGACCTCGTTGGTCTCGAGTCGGTCGGCGCTGCGTCTGCCCCGAGCGGGAGACGCCGCACCGGCAAGGGCAAGGGGGGCAAGGGTGCTGGAGGGGTTGGCGGGGGTGGCGGAGGTGGCGGTGGAGGCAGTGGAGGGGGTGGGGGTGGTGGTGGGAGTGGTGGAGGGGGTGGAGATGTCGGTGGCGGCAGTGGAGGCGGAGGCGGCGGCGGCGGTGGCGGTGGGAGCGGAGGTGGCGGAGGTGGCGGCGGTGGAGGAGGCGGCGGCGGAGGAAGTGGAGCTGGTCGGGGTGACGCTGCGCAGAGGGTCGGCTCCGGTGGTGGTCAGCGCCAGCAGCAGCAGCAGCAGCGGCAGCAGCGCACTCGTGACATCCCCCCCCCTCAGCAGCTCCGTGAGTGGTACGCTGCACGCCAGCGGGGTGGGGGTACTGGTCCGTGCACCTACGTCCTACGCACCGGCAACCGCGCGGGTGAGCAGTGCGGGGGTGCGCACTCCACCCAGCGCTGCTTTGGCCGCCTGACGGACGCTTGGTGTCACCAGTTCCCTGAGGCCACTGAGATCCCCCGCTGGGGCGAGCTGTCTAGGGCGGGTGTAGCTGTCTTTGACCTTGACTTTGATGCTATTCTTGCTGCCATGTATGCTGTGACTATTAGTGATGAGGGTGACTGTTACCGGTGTTTTCCGCCCGACCCGGGCATTGAGACTGCTGCTCTAGGTACTGGTGAGGCTGCTGCTCTAGGTGCTAGCGAGGCTGCTGCTCTAGGTGCTCGTGTGTCTGCTCCCTCAGGTGCTGGTGAGTCTGCTCTCTCAGGTACTGCGTCGGCTTCGGCCTCCCACACCTTCACCCTTGACTCGGGGGCTTCTCGCTCCTTCTTTCGAGACCGCACCACACTCACGCCGCTTGGCCGGCCAGTTGCAGTCTCTCTGGCAGACCCCTCTGGGGGTCCTGTCCTTGCTCACTTCTCCACTGTCCTCCCGTGTCCGGCGGCCCCCTCTGGCACCCTGTCTGGTCTTTACCTCCCCTCGTTCTCTACGAACTTGGTGAGTGGTGCTGACCTACAGGATGCGGGGGTTCACCAGTTCACTCCTGCGAGTCAGCGGGTGACCCACTGCACGGACGCTCGGACAGGCCGACACCTGGCCACGTTTACACGTCGGCCGGGGTCGAGCCTGTACACACTGACCACTGCGTCTCCTCCAGTCACTGCGTCTGGTCAGGTAGCTGCGTCGGGTCAGGTGTTTGCTGCAGCGTCCAGGTCTGGTCCTGAGTCTGCCCCCTGTTCGTGTCGCCTCTTGTTGCACGAGACTCTCCTCTGGCACCACCGCCTTGGTCACCCCTCCCTGCTTCGTCTCCGAGGCATGGCCTCCCGTGTCCTTGTCTCTGGTCTTCCCCGGTCCCTCCCTCCCCTTCCTCCGGGGCCAGGCCCTACCTGCGCCCCTTGTGTCGAGGGGCGGCAGCGGGCTGCCCCTCACTCCTCCCAGTTTCCTCCGACAGAGGCCCCGCTGCAGACGCTTCACATGGACGTGTGGGGCCCGGCCCGCGTCCGTGGACAGGGTCACGAGCGCTACTTCCTGCTGGTGGTTGACGACTACTCGCGTTACACCACAGTCTTCCCCTTGCGCAGCAAGGGTGATGTCACTGAGGTGTTGATCGACTGGATCCGCGCAGCTCGTCTCCAGCTCAGGCAGAGCTTCGGCTCGGACTTTCCTGTTCTGCGTCTGCACTCTGACAGAGGTGGAGAGTTCTCCTCTGGCCTTCTGCGAGCCTACTGTCGTGCACGAGGCATCCGCTTGACCTTCACGCTTCCGGACTCTCCACAGCAAAATGGGATTGCTGAGCGCCGCATTGGCATGGTCATGGACGTCGCCCGTACGTCCATGATGCATGCGGCTGCCCCCCATTTTCTGTGGCCGTTTGCGGTTCGGTACGCGGCGCATCAGATCAACCTTCACCCCAGGGTCTCCATGCCGGAGACCTCCCCAGCTTTGCTGTGGACGGGGAAGGTTGGCGATGCGTCTGCGTTCCGTGTCTGGGGATCTCGGGTGTTTGTCCGCGACTTGTCTGCGGACAAGCTGTCCCCTCGTGCTGCTCCTTGCGTCTTCCTTGGCTTCCCCCCTGACGCGCCAGGGTGGCAGTTCTACCACCC